GGTTAATTCAGCACTCAGTATTACACTTATACATTACATACAATACAAATCAGTATTTCAGGAGAGAAGAAAAGAGGAAAAGGAAAAAGGCACAAATGGGTTGATTTTTAGGACTTTAAAGAATACACGTTAATTTATTCAATACAGCACATATTTTTCAGCATGTGTTGGGACTTGATCTGTCATTGTTAATTTCTTTTATTTTGTCATTGTTGTGATTTTGTTTTGTTTCTAGACAGGGTCATGTTATGTAGCCCAGGCTGGCCTGAAATTCACTATAAAATCCAGGCTGGCCATGAACTCTCAATCCTCCTGCCTCAGCCTCCTGAATGCTGGGAGTAAAGGCCTATGCACCACACCCAGTTTGTGATGGTAAATCTTGATTATCAACTTGACTGGATTCAGAAATGCCTAGGAAATTAGTGAAGCACACTTTGGGACTGAATGTGAGTGTTTCCAGAGATGACTGGCATGTGGGACACTAAACTAAAGGAGACCTGGCTTGAATGTGGATGGCACTGTCCAGCAGGGAGAGAGCCTGTATGGAGCAAAAGTACAAGGAGGAAGCCTGCCAGCACATGCTCTTCCTTGCTCACCTGCTTCCTGGCTGCTGCGAAGAGGGCAGCTTTGCTCTAGCACAACCCGTCCGCCATCATGTTCTGCCTCCACCAGCCCATAAAGGAAGCCAGTGACCATGGACTGGGACCTCTGAAATCGTGAGCTACAATAAACCTTTCTCCTTTATGTTACTTTTCTTAGTTATTTTGTCATGGTGACGAAAAGCTAATATGGAACCCTAGCTCTTTTGTCATTTCTAGGAAAGTGAATATTGATTTTAAAAATCTGACAACATTAGGCCTCTGAGCAGAAAAAAAATCACACTCTACTCATGTACCAAGTACCTTTCTTGTTCATTATGATTCCATGTTTGACTATGAATGCTTTTGATTCATGTTCTTCTGCCACAAGACAGAGACACCCATGAGGGCAGAGCCCACATCTAGTTTTTCTTTGTTTTTTGGTACCGGGGATCAAACTCAGGACCTTGTGCTTACAAGGCAGGTGGCAGAACCACTGAGCTAAATCCCCGGCCCCCCCACATCTAGTTTTGTTCGTTGCTGTATTCCCAGGGTCCAGGGATGGTGTTAATATGTGTTGACTGAAAAACTGAACAAATCCATCACAAAGCCAGTCAAACAAAAGGAAAAGCTAATCAGACCCAAACACTTCAACATATTTACAGACTTTTATGTAATTTTTGCTGTACAAAGTAAGAAATTAACAATGGCTACACACACAGATGGATTAACCCTGATGGCCGCACTAGGTAGATGGCCAGGGCAAAGTGAAGTGCCCGGATGAGGGTCAGATTCTAGAACAAAAGGGAAGCCTCTGGCTTGCTCACTGTTCCTATGCTTCCAGCCAACTGTGGTTCCTGCATATCACCCATGCCTGCCTCCAGGCACTTAAGGATATTATCCATTTTAGCCAAACTAATCCTTATAAATAGGCAAGTAGTTAAAAAAAAGACCCAGAGATTGAAAATAACAAACACTAAGCTAATAATACCAATCCTATGAATATCATGAAAATGGCAAAGCTGGTATTTTTCCTGTTTCTAATATGAATTCATCCCTAGCCACATTATGATTTCAAAACAATGCCCGCCGGTCATATGCTACCTAGTCAGTACTTTTAATCTGCCCCTCAGGGGTGGTATCTTAACATTGAGAAAAAAGTTACTGCATGTAGAAAATGACATATTTATGTTTTGCAGATAACACTTTTTTAAATGGATGTGTCAAAATGCTTCTACTACTATACAATTTGGGTCCTAAACTTATGTAAGTGAATAAACTACAAACAAAATGGTTCGTATGTACACACCCAAACGACCTAACAGAATTTTCTAACTAGTTTTTAAGATGCCACCTGAAGAATAATTGAGGATTATGAACTCACCCCCCCAATCTAAAAATATAAGACCTTTCAATTAGTCCATAAGAAATGACAAACATCAGAAAAGATGGAAATTTATTAGCGAGATTTCAGAGTAAATTGGAATATAAGTGGTGAACAGAACTAAAAAATGATTATTATGATTTGGTAAGCTCAGCTCACATCTTCTAAAGGTCTATCTTTTCCACTTTCCTTCCAGGGCCTGGGATTGAACTCAGGACCACCACACTAAGCTACATCCTCCACTCTTTGCATTTTTTATTTTCAGACAGTGTCTCATTAAGTTGATAAGTTGCTCAGGCTGGGTTCAAATGTACATTCCTCCTGCCCCAGCCTCCCTGAATGCGAGAAGTACAGACATGCAGATTTACTGTTTTCATTTATGATCACCATTAAAGTCAACTATCAAAATATATGAGACTTAAATCAGACCTCTGAATTTCCATATCACAAGTTGTTAAAGTGAAATTTTAGAACAATAATAATGAATACTCAATGAAACTGCTTGTATGAAAAGTAAAATTACTATGAACAAATAGGGTTCCTATAACTTTTGTAAATAATTTAAAATATTTAATAATTTACATCATTCCCATATATTTTTCTATTTTATTTATGTTTACAATATAAATAATAGATTAGTAAAGTAGGATGTTTGCCTATAATTTAAAAAGAAGGCATATGTGTTGGGGAGAATGCACGAACAACAATGCTTTGAGATTACTACTTTAGGGATCAGGAAGCAGTTAAAGGATTTTAAATACAAAAGAATAAAAATATCAAAATTGAATTTTAGAAATATAATCCTGGGGATAGCAGACAGGACAAAAATGTTTGAAAGTTAAAGTAGTTAAAAAAATAAACTTGTTACTACACTAACAGCGGAAAGTATCCACAAGCCCCCGGCGGCCCTCCCGACAACGGAGCCTTCCTCAGGGCACATGGGTGTTCGCAAGCAGAGCCTTCCTGCAGCGCAGCCCCAAGACAATGAGGGCAAGGGAATGGCGAGGTGGAGCCCGAGAGTGGAACCCAGAGCAACACTGAACCCCAGGACTCAGAAATGCTTACTATTTATCACAGTCTAGCAGTCAGACCAGAAAAGACCAAATGCATCTACTTTCTGGCACTTGTATTTATGATTTTTAAAAACTATTTTTAAAAATTTAAATAATATAGTGCAAAAGTAAAATTTTGATTCCCTACCTCATTACTACATTGAATCCATCTCTCATGGTAATCACTTATATTTATACTTTATTTCCTTCTAAATTTTTTCCTATACATATTTTATGTATATATGTGTATGTATATACATATATTTGTGGGGATATAGATATGTATGGTTTTTGCATAATTTGCTCTATGAAAAAACAGGCTCATCTTCACAGTTTTGAAATTTGCTTCTTTCCCTTAAGGATATTTGATGGTTACCCTTCTGGACAATCTACATGGACCTCACCCCTTTTTGCGGAGCCGGAGGGAATATTATCATATGGATATACCACAGGTTATTAAACCTTCCTTTGTGGATGGACATTAGCAGGATTTCCAGAGTTTCACCTTTATAATAATGCAGCAACACCCTTACATACCCTTTATAATAAACACCCTTTATATCAACACCCTTTATAATACAGCAGAACACCCTTGTACACATATGTTTGTATACTTCTTTGAGCGGGACAGATTCCCAGAAGTAAGAGTTTTTGGGAAACAGTAGGTACAGTTAAATTTTGATCTGTACTGCAGAATGGCTACACTAAATTACATTTCCAACACTAAGGTTCATTTTGACTTTCTTTTCTCATATTTAATGATGATGTTGTTATAGATTCCCAAATTCAGGTGAAGATCTCAGGAGGTGAACCTCGCAATTCACAGATAAGGAGAGGGAAGCTCCAAGAGGCAAAGGTGAGGAGCCCGGATCTCGCAGACCCTGAGCTCCAGCAGGTGCTCAGGAAGAGTCTGCTCCTGACCTCCAGGATGGAGACTGGGCCAGCTGACCTCAAGTACAACACGTGTCCCATCGGCCGCACTGACAAGTAGGAAAGGAGGCTGATTATCCCCTTTTCCTTGTCTATCCCTAGCAAGAAAAGGAAAAAGCAATGAGTTCTGGAAAGACGCAATGACAAGAGGGGAAGAGAAGGAGAATTCTCCAACTCGGTGCAGGAACGGGTGCCCAGGACCGAAGGTACATAAGCCAGCGGCACAGAGTGAGCGGTGCGGTGGAAAGACTCTGACATGGGATAACCTTAGCAAACCCTTCCACGGCCTCAGTGCTTGTACGAAAAGTTTCTTGGTTCTAAATATCTCCATGTGGCATCCAAGATGAGTGCCAGGACTGAAACCGAATTCTGAAGAGAAATATCAGAAAAGAACTAACATCCCACAATGAAGAAACATCTTCAAAGAAGATGTTGTTATAAAAATACCACAAAAGTACTTTCCAACAAATTCCAGACCAAAAAGTAAAGCTTTAAAATGAAGCTCCAAGCACAGAGGTCTTGAATCCTATGCTGTGTGCCTAGAGAGGCCCAGTGAGAGGAAGCGCTTCCAACCCAGGGGCACTGCCTCCATTTGACCAGATCGACAGGGTCCAGCAAGGAGAAGAGAAGCGGCACTTGCATCTTCCCAAATGAGAATAACCTAGAACGGGGCAACGAACTTGGGAACAAGGCCAGGGTATAACTATTTTCAACTTTGCAGGCCACCTGGTCTCTGCTGCAACTACAACGACTTGACCCTGCAGCTAGGGTACAAAACAGCTGCAAGCAACACACACAGGAATAAACACAGCTCCAGCGCAACTTTACGAACATTGCAATTTGAATTTCTATGTAAACTGGATGAAATATAATTAATTTTTTCACAACCATTAAAAAATATAAAAACCACTCTTAGGGTACCAGTTGTATATAACAGGTAGTGGCCTGGTCTTCACCATAATGTGCTGGCCTCTAATTCTCAAATAAATCTGAATGTTGGTGGTTAGAGGGCAGAAAGGCAGAGACAGACATCCTTAAAGGGTTTCAGGTGTTTACCTCAGATCTCTTCTCTTGCTGACCTCCTCAGGTGGAATTGTCCAGGGCAGGCTCCGAGGGAGACACTCCAGAACTTCTGAAGAGAAATCAGAGAAATCGACGCCATACTCTGTTAGTATTCCCTCTGTTTCAGGCTCGATTTCACCGGCCTGCCCAAGACTCTTAGCCAGCTGCCTGTGGACAGAACAGAGGGAACAGCTGGGTTAGTGAGCAAAAGCGGTGTAGGCCCATCTCCTCTCTTAAAGTCAGTTGTTAAGAAGATCTTTAAAATCTCCTGGCCCACCACCAGGAGGAATACAATCACCTGTGTATGGCATAGGAGGCAGGCAGAAGAAACCATGATACTCTGGTCTTGGGAAATCCATGAACACAGTGTAATTTTACCTTTCTGTGGAAAGCAGGCCTTTCTTGGGACTCCTTCAATGGAGAAGTCAAAACTGACATTATAAAAGACGTGCACCAGTGCTCTGGTAAACACCTTCAAAGACAGCACTGGCCAACTCATTAGCTGCAGAGTGCCTGTACCCTAAGTCATGCATCCCCAATTAGAGCTGATCGGTGGGTCATCGATATGCGTACTACAACGGGCTGCACTCTATTCTCACAACACTGTCACATCACACACGGAGCACACATCCAACGTGTGGAATATAGACAGGCAGCAGGAAACATGATCAGAGCCTTGCAGTAGCTGCCCTGTGAAGGGTGAAACCAAAGCAGGCCCCTCCTCTGTCACACAGGTCTACGCAGTCCTCTACCAGCAGGATCCAGGAGGCTACTCCAGCTTCTCCTCAACGAGCATAGCTCTGGCTTGGACTTTCTCTGGGGCCACCGATTTCTACGAAGAAAACTCTGCCTCCCACGAAAGAACACACTCCGGGCTGCCAGAGTTCTTGGGTCCACAGTGGTACATGGGAGTTGGCTGCCTAACAGGCAGACTTTTGACAAACCCTGATCTTCAGCTCTGGCCCCTTGCTCACGCCTGCTGTGACAGAGTGGCCCACAGTCCAAGAGCACCGCCCAGCAGTCTGTTCTAGGCACTTGGGCACTGACCTGCAGGCTCCTCGCACACCAGGTGGGCACAGACCAGCACCTTCCCGAACTCAAGTGGGACCTCCCAGAAAGCAAACAAAAAGCCAAGACAGTAGAAACACAAGGGGAAAGTATTACAGAGAGCTATCTGGAAACCCCCAAACAGAGAAATTAAACCTCAGATGGGTTAAGGACGGAGTAAAAAGAGAATGAGAAAATATTTTGAATTGAATAAGATAAAACATATCAGTATTTGTGAGAAGCAACCAAAGCAGTGCTTCAAGGGAAATTTGTAGCATTAAATGCTCACACTAAAAGAGAAGAAAAGTGTCAAATAGATAATCTAAACTTCTACCTTAGAAAATGGAAGAGAAGGGCCAGGGATTTAGCTCAGTGGTGACGCGCCTGCCTGGCAAGTGCAAGATCCTGAGTTTGATTCCCGGTACGAAGAAAGGAAGAAAAATAAAAAAACAGAACAGAAGAGAAGACCAATTTAGATTCCAGATAAGTAGAAAGAAAGAGAAGATACAAAATAAGAATCAATGGGTAGGAAATGAAGAAAGGAAAAATAGATAAATTTCTAGTCAGATTGATCGAGAAAAACAAGGAAAGGCAAGTGATGTGCTGGGGGTGAGGGGGACAGCATTGCACATCCTACAGACGTCAAAAGGGAAAGGTGAGCCACAAATGACTTTACGCTGGCGAATTCAACATCTGGGAGACAGGGACAGAGTGCTGGGAAGACACACTGCCTAGGAGTCTTAAAAAAAGAACAAGTCTATGTCTGAACATTCCTATATCTATTAAAGAAACTAAATGCATAGTCTACAACCTTCCTGTAAAGAAAACTGCAGGTCCAGAAGGTTTCACTAATGAATTCTACTAAATATTAAATTAAGAAAACAAAATTCAGTGCTATATGAAAAGGATAACATATCATGACCAAATACTGTAGGATTTGTCCAACATTTAAAAATCAATCGGGGGCCCGGGATTTAGCTCAGTGGTTCTGCCACCTGCCTCGCAAGTGCAAGGTCCTGAGTTAGATCCCTGGTACCAAATAAATAAATAAATATCCATATCATTGATTATAACAAGGAGAAGAGGAAAGGGAAGGAAAAAATGCATAACAGCTTCTTACAAAAGCTAACCTCTGAGTTTCTTACAGATCTTTAAGTAGGTTGTTGACTTGAGGTTTTGTAGATATCGTGTTGATCAAATTCTTCAGATGCGGGACTTGCCTCAGGTAGGAGGCTTGTATTTCTCTTAAATTAGCATCAACACAATGGCCAGTTTCTGTTTCTCAACAAGGAAGTGTGATATTTTATGGGCTGTAAATGTGGTTGGAATATACCTTTGGAAAGGAAGCCTTATCAATAAAGTTTCACGATCCATCCCTCAGAAAAGTTTTCAAAGTGCAAATTTACTTTTATTTTTTCAAGATTTAACTGTATTTTCTGATTGTGTATATATGTTGATCTAGATAGATAGATAGATGAAGGAAAAAAGAAACTGCACTGTGCTGACACAGAGACTGGAATTCCAGTTAAGGGTCACCTGATGTTTATAGAAACAACTACATGAAGACTCATTCAGGCATGAGTTATCTGAGTCTCAATATTAGCCTCAAAATGTATGAAAATAGACCCTGGGCTCGATTTCTAATGAGTTCTCTGAATCGGAAATGGAGAGTGCAAGAACTAGGACTGGTATAAAAAAGGCAGAAAGCATACTGCTGACTTTCTTCCCAAAAAACTGAGCAGATGACTCAGAGGTAAGGATTCAAGAATGAGAAGTAATCAGATATGATGTTAAAGCACATGAAATTGCCAATATTGTTCATGTTTAAACTATAAAACACAATGGCATGATTCTACTTAATAGTGTTAAATCATTCATTAATCAGAGAGCACACATAGTTTTTGAGAAGATAATAAGCAATGAGATGTATCGCCAACACTTTACTAGAGAACTGCACTGATATGAGAAGAAACATACTCACCAACATGGATGGCACATTCAGAACACACTGGCCTTCCTACTCTAGCTTGTGAGGCTGGGTGCTATTCTCCATAACATGAAATGGCCAACACTGATTCCCACATGGCCAAAGGAGAAAAAAGCCTAACAAGGCAGACATACAGGCCTTTCGTGATATCCAGCTTCTGAGATACGTATAACACTAAAACCCAGGAAGAATTCATTACAGTAGACTCTCTTATTCACTGTTTTGCTTTCCAAGGTTTTAGTTACCTTCAGTCAACTGTGGTTGGAAATTATGAATGAAAAACTCCAGAAATAAAAAATTCATAAGTTTAAAGTGAGTATCACTTGAGTACTGTGATGCATCTCGTGCCATTTTGCTCTTTCACACTCAGGACATGATCAGCCTTTCGTCTAGCACAGCCACTGTGTATGCTTCCTGTCTTTCATTGAGGCCTCAGTTTTCAGACCAGTTGCACTGTATCATAGAGCTTGTGTTCAAGGTCCCAAAGCAAAGACAGAAAAGAGAATTAAGACGTGTTATGTGCATGCACCAACTCCCCATGATACTTGTAATTATTATGTACTGCAAAGATGTATTAAGAAAAAAAATAATGGTCCCAAAGCAAAAGAGTAGTTGATGCTGGTAATTTTACTACATATATTGTTATAATTATTTTATTTTAGTTATTGCCAATCTCTTGCTGTGCCTAATAAATTAAACTTTATCATAGGTAAAACACTTGAATCAAAGATGCAAGTACATAAGGAATAAGTCACAAAAGGAGAGAAAAACTAGGTTTTTAGATCTCAGCAAATAAAAAGAAAAGAATGAAACCAGAGATATGACAGTCAAACTGGAAATAACTAATGAAAAACTGACACTATTTGAAAATAATACGAATCATAGAGAAAAGTGAGGAAAATGAAAGTTCAAGTACAAGGCTTCAGGGAACAAAAAGATTATAGAGAGAAAACAGATGTGAATGGCAACAGAAGGAGATCCAACATCAGTACAGCTGGTGTTCCTGAAGGGAGGTCTACAGGCAAGGGACAGAAAGCATTTGCAAAGGCATCACAAAGATAACTTTCCTAAAGTAAAAGAAAATTCAGGTTTATGGACAGAAAGGCTACACCATATCTTAGGAAAAACTGAAAATCATCACCGAAACATAGTCTTAGGAAGTTACTAGATTTCAAAGATAAAGATTTCCACATACAGGAACTCAAGGAATGTTGTTCTCACAAACCCTTTCTGGAAAATTACTTGCTGATGTGGACAACCAGGAGTTGCCTGGGGAGACTGTGGGTGCTGGGCCCTGCGGGTGTGGAGGAGGGGTCAAGAAAGTGTAACAGGAGGTGACAGGCCTGACCTGTATTAGTTGTCAGGGAAGTCACTGGGTCTTTATTGGAATTAAAGACAAAAAATTTTTTCCTCATTTAGTGTTTTGTGTTCTGGCAAAATTTTTCACCACGTTATATTCTAAGTCCAAAGAATCTTAATTTGTTTACTGAAATTACAACATGGCTTATAAAGACAAAATTATATTTTAGTTATGGTTTCCAAATATGATCAATGACTCCAAGTTCCTATTTGTAGTAATTAACATTTATTTTACTAAGTTCTAGAGAACATTTCTCAAGTGCTTTATTAAAATAAATTTATTATAGGTTTTCACTGAGATATATTTAATAGCAGCACAGGCTGAAGAGCTTACAGGAGATAAAAATCTAACAGGTCAGCATGTTGAAAGAGCTCATGCTTTGGGGCTTTCAGTGCCCCAGAAAGACTTCTGTGCTACCTGCTTACATGTAACTCTGCTCTCTCCCTAAAAATCACAATAATGTAGGATCTAAACAAAAGTCAAATCTACTAAGGAACTGGTGTATCAACTGTATATATGTCTTACAGAAGGGTTTGCTTTTGTTTTTTAAATTTCAATGTAAATTTTATTGATGCTTAATCATGAAAGTAACTTGCCCTTTCATGCAATATCTCAGTTTTCAAAGTAGTATTTATGTCTCTGTATTCACTGTCAGGAAAGATGACAAAGCCTGCTTTAGGACAACTACAACTCAACGTTGCCCAGAAATGTCTGGTAATTCTCTTAAAAACCACAAATCAGCCTGCTCTACATTAAAATATGTCCTTTAGAAAG